GGGAGCATATAAATGTAATTTTAACTTTCTGCAACCATTTTTTCACATGCGAGAGTTTTGAAACGACAAATCGTGGCTGCTTTACCACGGCAACGCACCTTTTCACAACAACCTGTACATCCGGCAGTTTCTGACCGTAAAGAACATCACCGTACTGTGACAACCGCCCTAGTCACCTGATCTTGCTCCGTGTGGCTTTCTTCTTTTTCACAAATTCAACGGGGATCAACATGGGACCAGCTTTGAAAGTGTGGAGGCCATTAAATGGGCGGTAACGACAAAGTTGCGGGTTATCCAAGAAGAATCTTTCCAGCAGTGCATAGTAGCGTCGCATAGGAGCCTGGAAAAGAGCATTAGACTCGAGGTGGGGGATTACTCTGAAAGGAAAACCATGTAGTTTGGAATTGAAATAAATTATTTGTGAAACCAAGTCCATTACTTTTCAGACAAACTTCGTATCTCTGTTTTTGGCAACAGCGATAGTTCGAAGTTTTCTCTTTTGTAATTTTTTTAAGCTGTCATCATAACTACATTTTTATTACAACGCTCAAGCTGTTTTGAAGTTCTACGATCCTTAATTAAACACCACGGGTTGTAAAAATGAATTAAATTTAGCTATGGCATTGTTTCTGGTATTTTTGGGAGCATGACATAGACAGAACTTTACTGATTTAGTCACGGAGATCTATGACTATGCGAATTTCAAATTTAATCAAAATAAATATTTAATTGTCTTTATTCGAATTTCATGAGAAAAAGTATAAAATTAATTCTCTAAGAAAACCAGAATACTTTTTGCAAAAAAAATCAAAACACCCCCCTCTCCCCCACCAAAAAACAAAACGCTCATATTTTAGTCTTTGTCCCTTCATTGCGGAAAATTAAGAAAAAAATCATTTATTTTCGCTTCGATTGTTAAGAGGAACTAATTCCTAAGTACCAGTCTCATGAATAAACAGTAAAGGTTTAATCTTAGGTAGGTCCGGTGCGTACTAGACCCGAACAACGTGACAGGGGACGGACAAGTATGAGTGCTTTCTCGGCCAGTGGTTTGTGAATTTCGCTTTCTTCTCAATATTTGTTTTTATTTTCTACCTACATTTATATACATTGGAAATTAAACGAAGAACAATTGACTATTAAAGATTAAAATTATGCTAAGTGTCAAAAAACACGATATAAAATTAACTGTTTTATATTTATATATTTATATATATATATATATATATAATATACATTACATATTGATTTAATATGTACCCATTATTATGCATAATTAGGTTACAGTAAAATTTATATTTTAATTATTTCAGCTATCTCCATTATATATGGATTTAATATGTATTCATTATATATATATATATATATATATATATATATATATATATATATATATATATAAATTTAGCTTGAAGGTGGAACAGAGCTTGGTATTTAATTCAATATAATTCAAATAATTATATTGAAGTTTTCGGCTCTTGTTTTGAAACAGAACGCTTATGTAGCGATGGAATCATATTTTTAAATAAATAATTATATATATATATATATATATATATATATATATATATATATATATATATATATATATATATGTATGTATATAAATAAAAAAAAGAACAGTAAGATATAAAATCCGGTGTTCTTATAGATATTTTTATTTTTACAAAATTAGTGCTCAATGTAAATTTACAGAGCATTAATATTATAAATTAATTGATTAAAATATGTTTTTTTTTCGCTACACAGTTCCAACCATGTTTCAAAAATAGAAGCTAAAAACCCCGAATTTAATTTTGCAATTAAATTAAAAGCATTAGTTCCATTTCATCTTCAAGCAAATTTTGGAGTAACTTTTAAAAATTACCGGGTTTTAAAGACACAGCTAAAATCACGTTTCCATGGTTACAGAATATACTACTTAAATTGAACAAGGGATGTCTAGATTTTCCTTATGTCAGTATCATTGTATCAGTTATTAGCTACAATTTGGTAAGGGGTAGGGACGTATTTTACAATGAAACCTGACATCAGTTGAATGGATGTCGTCTGGATTAAAAAAAAAAAAACTGTTAACGGTAAAAAAATTTCAACGTCATTTTTTAAATTTAAAGATTTTCGGTTTTTTTTTTTTTTTTTTTTTTCCTAATACTTTTTATTTAACTACGATTTGAAATACTCTCCTTTTTAATTTTTATTTTACTATATTCTTTTTAAGAACAGTTAAATGTATTAGAATCAATTATATTATGTAGGATTATTTTAACATCAAGTTTAAGTATGTATATGAGGTTACATTTTTTTTTTTTAAATTTATGACTATGACGGCAAAAATGGTTACTTAATTTCACTGATTTAGTAAACTTTTATTTTATATATAAACCTAGTAATATAATGTTTCTCATGTAAGTACAAAGGACATGGGTCATTCAGAAGCTTACATCTTATGGCATTTCATATTAATTTTATTTTACTAAAGGTGTTTTTTTTTATTCTTTTTAGTGTGTGTAGTACTATTTAAAAGAAATTTAGGTTAGAATTCATTCAATTTAACTACAATTTTAATTACAATTTCAAAATTACAACTTTAAAATTTTAAAATATTTTCATTGTTAGTTTTAATAGACTATATTACTTTATAACAGAAGGAAAATTACTCATAGTAAGTAAAATTATTTTTCCGTATCAAAGTATATGTAAATTACAATTTTTTTTTTTTTTAAATTTAAATAATATTTAAGTAATATTAATGGCACTTACTACAAAACTAGCTAAGTCATTTCTCAGATTTAGTAAACTTTATTTATTAATTAATTTATTTATTTATTTTAAATATATGTAACCTAAGTAATAAAGTTTCATATGTATGTACAAAGAACAGGTTAGAATTCATTTTATTTAACTACAATTTTAATTACAATTTTAAAATTACAACTTTAAAATTTTAAAATATTTTCATTGTTAGTTTTAATAGAATATATTACTTTATAACAGAAGGATAATTACTCATAGTAAGTAAAATTATTTTTCCATATCAAAGTATATGTAAATTACAATTTTAAACTATTATATTTAAATATTATTTAAGTAATATAAATGGCACAACTACAAAACTATCTAAGTCATTTCTCAGATTTAGTAAACTTTATGTATTAATTAATTAATTTATTTATTTTAAATATATGTAACCTGAGTAATAAAGTTTTATATGTATGTACAAGGAACAATGGGTCATACATTACCTTACATCATCTAGCTTTTGTTATAATTTCATTTTTCAGTAGGTGTTTTATTGGATTCATTCAAGTGTTTGTAGTACATTTATTATAGAGGTGTTTCGGTTAGGATACATTTTATTTAACTACAATTTTTAAAAGATGCTTATGTTTGAATACGTTTTAACTACAATTTTAAATTTTAAATACAAGTTTAAAACATTTTTCCTGCCATTCCAATAGACTTTTTTTTTTTTTTTTTTTTTTTATATATTATTTAAGGAAAATTTTTGACAATGACGGCATATAATAGCTATTTCATTTCTCTGATTCAGTAAATTTTTATTTTTTATAAACTTAGTAATATATAGTTTCTCTTGTATGCATAGAGGACACAGGGTCGTTTAATGATCTACAAATTCTAGCTTTTCATATTAACTTCCATTTTACTGTAGGTGTTTTATTTGATTCTTTTAGATGCCAGAAATATTTTGAGAGAGATGTTTGATTTTATATCTATTTATTCTAAATGAAGTTTGATGTTGGTTGAATCTTTTTTTGAATTCATGGCTATATATATATATATATATATATATATATATATATATATATATATATATATATATATATATATTATACATTATATATTGATCTAATATGGATCCATTATTATACATGTATATTATACATATATATTATATATATATATTATGCATTATATATTGATTTAATATGGATCCATTATTATATATTTATCTTATATATATATATATATTTATATAGATAGATATATATATATACATATCATATATATATATATATATATATTATATATATATATTATATACATATTATATATATATATATATATACATTATGTATAGATTTAATATAGATCCATTATTATACATATATATTTTATATATATATATATATATATATATATATATATACATATATATATATATGTATGTATTATATCATGCATATATATTATACATATATATTATATATATTATATATGGATTTAATATGGATCCATTATTATACATATATATTATATATACATTATACATTGTATATGAATTTAATATGAATCTACTCTTATGCATGTATATTATACATATATATTATACATACATATATATATTATACATTATATATTGATTTAATATGTATCCATTATTATCTATCTATCTATCTATATATATATATATATATATATATATTTTGTTATACATACATATTATACATTATGTATGGATTTAATATAGATCCATTATTATGCGTAATTAAGTTACAATAAAATTTGTATTTTATATGAATAGTATCTTATGAAGTGTGCGTTTTGGTGTAATGGATATTAACTCAGAGAGCCGTGCTCGAATTCCAGTCGCGTTCGTTATATTCACAAGTAACCCTGGGAAAGGAATGAATCCATCCCGCAAGTTATGGGTTGAATAGAAAGACAGACTGAGATATTTAGCCTTGGTTGTCAACCAGTCTACCGTTGAAAGAAGTGGCAACCTTCATACAAAATTTTACTGTAACCTAATTATGTATAATAATGGATCATACGCAATATAGGTGAAAAATATAACGCGAAAAATTGAAAATAAATACAATATATCTGTTAAATAATAAATTAGAGACATGTCATGTATCGAAATATACATGATACCCAAGCATATATCACGTAACCGACTGAGTGACCTTATGGAAATTGAGATGTACTCAAGTGGGGGACCCCGTTTTATAAATTCCGGGGTGCACGATAACTTTTCAATGTCCCTGGAATCGACTATACTGAATCTGATAATAAAAAAGTCCCCAAGTCGAGGTACAGCTTACAAAACTCTAAGTACAGAGCAGATTCGTGTTGGGTTGGGGGAGGTATCATAGATTCGGACCTGGTCTTAAGGATTATGCATTCTGATTTTACAATAGTTTGCTCAATCTCTTCATACAATCCTCAAGTTCTTATAAAGTCTACATTGTAACAAAGACCCCTCTTTTTTTTACTATTCATTTCATTGTCTGACGTCAATTGAGTAGGTGCGGCCATTTTAAGCTCCGTTTCAATATATGTCAACTGTCCTCTGTAATTTTAATAATGTCCGCTGATAATATTAAAAAGATATACTGTAGACCCGCCAACCTGATTTCACATGCCCATCAAGCAATAGACGCAAGCAGCAGACATTTTATTCCTTATTAATCTACGCATGTCGTAAAAAAAAATGACACCATCTATGAAAGCGATATTTTGTTGCGACTTTACGATTATTAGAAAATTTTCATATGTGTGCCTTCTGATTTATTTCCTCCGATTATTATATTAATTTCGTGGGCAAGAGTTTATTGCATAATAACTAGCCTGTACTTTATTCTATGACAATCTTGTATTAAAATAGCATATTTCGGTAAATCATATTACAAAACGAAATCATCAGCCTGAAAACTCGACTCGTATTCTAAAATGGCCTCGTCAGAACAAGACTTTCAAGCGGGTGTCGTGTATATAATCAAACCCGTTCAGAAATATATAAACGAGATTTTTCCAGGTGCCCCGCCTACACGAATCTACGTGCTACGAGATTGGCATCTAGGTCCCACCCATTTACTGTTGAAATAACTAAATGCAACCGTTACTTCTATTCCAACAGTTTATTTTCTCACATTTCCCTTTCGTTTACATGCTTCCCCGATAACTACAATCTTCAAAAAATTAAATGCAACATCAATCGCCATCATCTGTCTTCTTGAATCTTCTTAATCTCTTGTTCCTTCCTCAATCCACCCTATACTCACTCTTTTCTCTCGTCTTTCACTCACTGTAAACCCCCACCCTGCGTACAAGTGGCATTACCGCCTTGCATGGAGTGAAATGATAAATAAAAAAAAACCCTGTCAGCTGTATAAAACCGTTTCCTAACGATCAATAGTTAAAAGTGGTTCTGTACGAGTGAAACCTGAGGGTCTTGGCAAAGATTAAACATCTTTAAACCTTTTGAACTGGCGCCACAGAAGCCCAAACAAAGAAGTATATCAAATAAAAGAAACCATATCACTTGAGGATGACCAACAACACCACAACTAAAATAGGCAGCATATTGTACTTCGAAAAAATAATAACATAATCAAGATTTTGACATTCCACACTACTATAAATAAAAGGTTAGGAAGGAAACTCCCATAACTACTGGAAAGAGAGATAACAGCCACATGACTTAATAAACTTATTTTCCTGAAAGATTTAAGGGAAAAAATTAAGAGAAAAATTTGATAAATTCCAATCGACAGCAGTACTAAGAGCTCAGTCAATGAATGCCAAATGTTTCCTTATAAGGAAACGACATATATTAACATTATACATTAGCAGATACTACACTTCGATCTCAACCTGATAACCAGGGAATTAAAGAAAGCCTAATTAAAGTAAATTTGGCTGTTCGGTCAATGAATGCCAAATGTTTCCTTATAAGGAAACGACTAATATTAACATTACCATTAGAGATAAAGAGAACAGATACTACACTTCTATCCCAGCCTGATGACCAGGGAATTAATGAAAGCCTAACTCAAGTAAATTTGGCTGCTCTGTCAATGAATGCCAAATGTTTCCTTATAAAGAAACAACCAATATTAACATTACCCTTACTAGAGTTAGGTTTTCCCGTGACAATCTTTAGATAAATAATTTTGATACAATAAGGTAAAAGTAAGAAACGATTATAAATTTAACATGTTTCGTTTTTATTTAATATTCATCAGAAGCTTCTGGAAATGAGTTGTGGACGAGAAGGAACCGCTGGCGGAGCTCTTAGATCTTGTAGAACTCTTTGTCTTCGAGCAGAGAGGAACCCAGATTAGACTGGCCTTTGTCATAGCCTCGTTTGGGGAGTTAGACAAATCTGACTCCGTGTATACGGGATCTACGGGGAATTTTTGCCTGAGCCTACGTGTAAGGATCACCCCCACGTAAAAAAAAAAAAAAGAAGCTTTGTGCCACATCCCACCTTTTGGTGAGGTCTCGGGTAAATACAGAGTTGTGGAAGACAATGCTTCCGTTCATCTGAGTTCTGGTTTATTTGTCTTTTAATTGATCGGGTAGATCTCGAGCGTTTATGTCATGTGGCTTTTGTGGATGTGTGCCTAGATTCTAGTGGCCATTTCGTGTCTGTCTAGCAGTGACCGTTTCTTTAATTCCTGAAGAATTGTGGTAGCATGATACCAAGGTGTATATGTATGTGTGGGTATCAAATTTCTAGTTGGTCTTGCGGGTGATGGTGGTGTCGGTACGCGTGAATACTCTTGGTTATTAATGTTGGAGTGAATTCTCTAGTTGAGGAAAAAAATCGTGTGTATCGGAAAATTTGGAAGTATGTGGATATTTTTTGGTTTAATTTTATTATAGATATTTTTATTTCTATTATATATGACTTTTTAGTATATCGGAAGACTTAGGTTACATCGGCCGCAGGTACCTGAAGCTTACATGCTTAAAATATAAGTTTTTTATGTATGTTGGTGATATGAAAAGGCGTTTCTGGTGTATGTTTATCGATAGAAGTATAGTTATTAATATTCCTTCTAAATATTATCTTCGTAACAAAATATGTTCTTTTTTTGTTGGGTGATATTTTTTAAATCAAGTTTATGGCCTGTTTTATTTCTGCGTGTTACGAGAGACTTTAGTGGGCTATCACAACGGAGGGTTCTCATGTGTTCATAAAAACGGGTTGATATACAGAGTGACCATAAATTCTGGACATATAGAAAATCGCATTGACTATATTTTTTTTTTTACTTCCACAGATGGTAAAAATGGTTCTGTCGAAAGAAGAAAGAATTGACTACTTTTTGGGGGGTAAGCTAAAGGAAAATGAAAATCATAAATGCATCACACTTGGTTGAACGCATAAAGAGGGAATGTACTTAAATTGAGGGCAGTGTGGAGTTATAGCTTTGGGTTCACGTGAATCTTGCAAAGCGCATCAAACTTTGCATCACAAGTAATGGACACTGAACATTGGATTGCGTGCTTTCGTGGTGCGTCGTCCGTCAGGGGCATCATGATTTAAGTTTCTTTCTACCCCCCTCTCTCTCTCTCTCTCTCGCTCGCTCTCTTTCCATCTCTCTCTTTCCACCACTGTCTCTTTCCAGCTTTCCTCTTTCCACCCCATCTCTCTCTTTCCACCCCTCTCTCTCTTTTTCTACCTCCTCCCTTTCCACCTCTCTGCGATTGTGTGCGTGCTCCGTGGTGCGTCGTCCGTCCGAGGCATAATGATTTAAGTTTCTTTCTCTCTCTTTCCATCTCTCTCTTTCTTTCCATCTCTCTTTCCAACTTTCTCTCTCTTTCCACCCCCTCTCTCCCTTTCCACCTCTCTGTTTTCTACCTCTCTCTCTCTCTTTCCACCTCTGTGCGATTGTGTACGTGCTTCCGTGGTGCGTCGTCCGTCCGGGGTCATAATGGTTTAAATTTCTTTCCACCCCTCGCTCTCTCTTTCTATCTCTCTCTTTCTACCACTCTCTCTTTCCAACTTTCACTCTTTCCACCCCATCTCTCTCTTTCCACCTCTCTGCAACTGTGTGCGTGCTCCGTGGTGCGTCGTCCGTCCGGAGCATAATGATTTAAGTTTCTTTCTCTCTCTTTCCATCTCTCTCTTTCCACCACCCTCTCTTTCCAACTTTCTCTCTCTTTCCACCTCTCTGTCTTCTACCCCTCTCTCTACCCCTCTCTCTCCCCCCCCTCTCTCTCTCTCTGTCTTTCCACCTCTGTACGATTGTGTGCGTGCTTGTGTGGTGCCTACGTCTGGGGCATAATGATTTAAGTTAATCTGATTTAAGAGACTAAGATTAGATTAATATTAATAAATATTAAAGACAGACACAATGAGATCCCGCCTTGCTGTTTCGTCCACTTGTTTCTTATTTATATTTCAGCATTCTTTAAACAAAAAAATATTTTAAATATTTAAAAAAATATTTTTCTCATATTTAAAAGATATTTTCAAGTGAATATGATTTTAAAATATTTTCTGACATATTAAAAATATTTTTAAGTTAATCTGATTTAAAAAAAAATATTTTAAGAATAAGACTTAAAAGTACGTGTTTTTTTATACAGTAAGTATTTTTATTTTAACTTTTTTCAAACAGATAATTTTTTAATGTTGAAATAAACAATGTTTTATAAGCTGAACCGTCACGGGTCGTCTAGGGCAAGGGTCGGCAACCTTTTGCTAACTATTTGTCGACTTAGCGTTTTAAAATCATTCGGTGTGACAACAGTATACGTATTTTTATATAAGTCAAGGTCAATATACCTGTTCTATAATATATTTTATATAGTAATATATAGTATATATATTTTAGTATATAGTAAAATTGAAACAACTAAATAGCTTTGTGTTATTTCAGACTTATTTTTTAGCAAGTTTCAATATTCAATCTGTAGGTTGCAAGTAAATAGGATTGTTAGCGATCAGGAATTAACATTACCACTTTACTTTTATTGGCTCTTGATTTGGGTAAATTTTAGCATATACCGAGTGTAACACCAAAATTGTCCAAATTGTATAACCTCGGAGAATTCCAGTAAGATATCTTTAATCATTTCTGTGATATAACGACTCAAAGCTAAATTTAACAATTGGATAATTTTGCTGTTATAACCGGTATATCTTATTCCATGATCATTTACCCACTTATTCAAAATGAACTTCGCCCTTTCTAACTTTCTAACTTTCTGTCTTGGAGTAACAAGTTGTCTCTCAGATTTCACATACGATCTCATTTTCAAGTATTTTTTTTTTCACCATTATCTCAAGAAAAAACAATTGCGTACAAAATATTTAGATTTTGGCAATAAATAACCCATAGAAGTGTTGATATGCCGCTAAATAAAATCAAGCAAGCAACTGTGTGAACAATCACTGTCTTTAAAATAAATCGATTTTCTTTTTTAAAAATCAATTATATCATCTCGGGCATGTTGACGTGGTGTAAGGAAGTTTGTCTCTCTGGATCAAAAACATCCAAACTTAGTTATTTAGTTATGCACCATGCGTGGTACACGCGTAGGCGATCATGTACCTTTCGATAGATGACTAACGAGGCAGATCTTTCCCGCAGTAGTTTGCCATTTCTTTCTGCGGTAGACTAATTGCCATCCAAGGCTATAGAACCTGGTCTGTCCTGCTATTTACTCATAGCTGAGTGAGGGGAGAAGAAAAAGGATTCATACCTTTCCAAGCATTCCCTCGCTCCCTTCCAGTGTCTCTTTCATAATTCCTATCACCCAAAATTAATTCAACCTCGAAGGTCTGGGGATACCTCATTTGGAACCTAAGCATGCGACCCTCTGTAATCTGCATCTGGTTCGCTGAACCTCTCCCTAGGCACGAAAATATCTTTTCTGTGTCCTTGAATTTGAGATCCCTGCATGTAAGTGAATTTAATGGATTCGAACTCGGCTCTCCTATCCTTCAATCCGAACCACTATCTATTACTTCACCGTGCCATGCGTGATAAACGCTTAGGCGATCATATATCTTTCGATACATGACTGACGAGGCAGATTTTTTGCCCACAGTAGGTTATCATTCTTTCTGTGGTAGATTAGTTGCCATGCTATAGAACCTGGTCTGTCCTGCTATTTATCCACAGCTGGGGGAAGAAGAAGAGGATTCATACCCTTTCCAAGGGTATTAGCACGTAAGTGAATGTAATGGATTCGACTGGAATTCGAACTCGGCTCTCCGATTCCTCAAACCGAGCCGTTATCTATTACTCCACTGTGCCTCCAAAATCAGTTATGTGCCATGCGTGATAAACGCTTAGGCGATCATGTATCTTTCGATACATGACTGACGAGGCAGATTTTTTTCCCCACAGTAGGTTGCCATTTCTTTCTGTGGTAGACCAGTTGCCATCCAAGGCTACAGAACCTGGTCTGTCCTGTTAGCTGGGGTGGGGGAGAAGAGGATTCATTAGCACGTAAGTGAATGTAATGGATTCTACTGGAATTCGAACTCGGCACTTCGATTCCTCAATCCGAGCCGCTGTCCATTGCTCCACCGTACCCCCCCTCATCCAAACTACTTTGACGAAAATGCTATTGTAGTTTGAAGATTTGTTAAGGGGACAAATTCAACGTTTCTGTAGAATTTCAATACGTTTCTCACACTTCGCTGTCCCCATTCTCATTGTGGGATCGGCTATTCGCTACAGTGGCTTTTAGTGCTACGAGTTGACACACTGACAATTGTGCCCAGGATGTGGCTGTTTTTACAAAACCTGAACCATTCAAGCGAAATAATGTCTTACGCATTTACTCAGCTGGAAAAAAATAAAATAATAAACAATAAACAAACTCCAGCTTGATGAAAGATCAATCATTTCATGGTGGGGGGTATTCTGCCACAGAAATTTATCTCTGACGAAAGGTCAGTTATAAAAAGAATTGTCCAAAATTATATGACGTTTAAACAGAATGTTTTTGGTTGCTTGATTGATAATACAAGATGTCAACCTCTGACGCCTTATATAATATCGAAATCAGAAATTATATATATATATATATATATATATATATATATTGGTCTGTAAGTATTTACTGGGTTCAGGAATAGGTAAATATTGGTCGTTTTTATTTGAATTTATAAGCATCTACTTGGTTTTTGTATTGGTATATATTGGTCATTTATATCTGCTTCTATGAGTATTTACTATTTTCAGGAATAGGTAAATATTACTCGTTTTTATTTGAACGTATTATTGTATTAGGATTACTGATATTCCCGTATTTGTGAAATTACACGTCATTTTTTTTTTAAAGTTGTATTTAATAAACACTAGTGGATGGAATACGTACGGAATCTTGTCTACCCACCTGCCTACATCCTTCCCCCGCTTCCTTCAAGTGTCTCTTTCATAATTCCTATCACCTTAAATTACCATCTGATTTCATTCAACCTCAAAGGTCTGGGGACACCTCATTTGGAACCTAATCATGGAACCCGCTGTAACATGTATCTGGTCCACTGAATGTCTCGCTAGGCATGAAAATGTCTTTTCTGTATCCTTGAATTTGAGATCCCTGCATTTATGCCCTCTGATAAAAATGAGGAGGCAGATGTTGAACTAATTGTTCATGACCTCCAAGACTATTATAGACGAAGGGAACTTGTCGTCCATAACACCGGGGATGTTAGTGGCTCTGGCGTACATCCGTGCCATTAGTTCTGTTCAATCTTTGATCATAAATCAAAGTTCTCACCAGAAAAAAAAGAACATATGAGGTTCCTCGGGATATTTAACTTTGTTTAGCAAAGACCAAGACCAGCTATGACTAGCTTAGACCAGCTCTGACCAGCTTGGACCAGCGGCCCGAATGAAAACATTCGGTTCCCATGTTAAAAACTGACCTTGTGTTACAACTTGACTCAGTGGAGGGTCAAGTAAATACACTTACCTGGCATAGGGCTCCGTCCCTGTGCTGGCGGTATCACGGCTACGCCTAGCTTGGACCGGCTATGACCAATTTGGACCAGCTATGACTAGCCTAGACCAATTCTGACCAGCTTGGACAAGCTATGACCAGCATAGACCAGCGGCCCGAGTAAAACACTCGGGTCCCCACGTTAAAAAACTGACCTCGTGTCACAACCTGACTCAGTGGGGGGTCAATTAAATATCATTACCGGTTACAGAGATCCGTCCCTGCGCTGGTAGTATCACAGACATGACTAACTTGGACCGGCTTTCATAATTATCAAATTAATATTTGCTCTGGTTTTACACGGATTATAATTAAGAAATAGACAACCTTAAGTTTCGATGACTATAATTTATTTCCCCAGAAAATATATTTTTATGTGACCTGATGAACTAGGAAAAATATATTTTCTGGAGAAATAAATTATAGTCATGGAAACTTAAAGTTTTCTATTTCTTAATTATTTCATATACATATCCTGGACACAATTGTCAGTGTGTCAAGTCGTAGCGCTAAAAATAGACAAAAACTACCCTCTTCTCCTAATTTGTACCTGATGTCTTTATACACAGTACGTTTAATTGCTGACTCCGACACATGAAGCTGATTGGTAACAGCACTCATCGATTTTCTGTGGTTCTCATCGATGGTATCATGCACTAGCTGGACAAAATCGATATCCCTAACAATGTCTGAAAAAGGTTTTGTTTTGGATATTGAAGACATATTTTTTTGTGTGTTTTAATTTGTCTGTTATGTAAATTGGTATAAAAAAATTCTTGTTGTATAAAAGCAGCTATATATAAAGTTACCATTGTCGGTATGTCAACTTGTAGCGATAACAGCTACTGAGCGTGTAAACTACTCACTAGTGCTATACACATTTTGATACTTACCTGGCAGAGCACTCCGTCCATGTGCTGGCGGTATCACGGCTACGACTAGCTTGGACCGGCTCTAACCAGCTTGGATAAGCTAAGACCAGCGGCCCGAGTGAAGACACTCGTGTCCCCACGTTAAAAACCAACCTTGTGTCACAACCTGACTCAGTGTGGGGGTATCATATAAATACAGTGTAAGCTGCTCTATCGAGTGGTATACACATTCTGATGCTTACCAGTCACAGCGATCCGTCCCTGTGCTAGTGATATCACGGCTACGTCTAGCTTGGACCGGCTCCGACCAGCTTGGACCAGCGGCCCGAGTGAAAACATCCGGGTCCCCACGTTAACAAATGAGCTTGTGTCACAACCTGACACAGTGGGCTGGGATCAAGTAAATCTCCTTACCGATCACTGGTATTATCACAGCTATGACTAGCTTGGACTGGCTCTGACCAGCTTGGTCCAGCTAAGACCAGCTACGACTAGCTTAGACTAACTAGCGATGACCAACTAAGACCAGCAGCTCGAGTGAAGACACGTTAAAAACCGACCTTGTGTCACAAACGGACTCAGTGGAGGTGGGGGGGGGTCAAGTAAATATAGTGTTAACAGCCATTGAAGCAAATAACTGAGCCCAGCGCATTAAAATGTGAAAAACGTAATGAAATGATAAACATTTATATCGTATACAAAAAAGAGTGTCAACTTATCTAGAGCCAGGTTTTTGTCCCACTTTCGAACTAAAGTGAAATAAAAGGAATTCATCGACCCAAATACTTTGTTAATAAGAAACTAACGCGAAAAATCAGTGTATACTTTTCTCATAGAGACTTAAGTTAATACAGTTGCAGCTCTACAGAAGGATGCTGAGAATATCATGGTTAGAAAATAGGAGCAACGAGAAAGTGTTAAGGAAAATGGAAGCAAAAAAGCATTTTTATATAGAATCAGAATAAGATAGTTGAAATTTCCAGGTAACATCAAGGTGAAAGAAAACTTGGAAAATTTTACATACAGATGACATGCTTAAAGCAGAAGGAACAGAGCGAATATTGCATAAATGTATGCCAGAACTGAATAGGATAAGAACGGGTATAGCAATTGAAATATTAGCCGTTTCCTTATAAGGAAACTTTCGGCATTCATTGATCGAACAGCTAGTGCTCCTCGAGTTACGCTTTTCTTCACTTTTTGGTCATCGTGAATCAAAATGTAGTACCTGTTCTCCTCATCTGTAATGATAATGGTAATAGTAGTGGTTTGCTTATAAGAAAATATTCAATATCCATTGACAGAGAAACCGGTGCTAATCTAGTTAGGCTTTTCTTCAGTCCATGGCCATCGGGCTGGAATCAAAGTGAAATATATATTCTCCTCATCTCTAATGATAATGGTAATATTAGCCGTTTTCTTATATGGAAACATGTAGCATTCATTGAGCGAGCAGCCAGTGCTACTTGAGTTGCTTTTTTTTCATTCTTTGGTCATTGGGCTGGAATCAAAGAACTACATCCGCGTCCTGGGTAAGACCATAAACTACATCCGCGTCCTGGGTAAGACGATAAACTAAATCCACGTCCTGAGTAAGACGATAAACTACATCAGCATCTTGGGTAAGACGATAAACTACATCCGCACCCTGGGTAAGACGATAAACTACATCCATGTCCTGGGTAAGACGATAAACTACGTCCGACAGCATGGCCTCAGATCAGGAGGTTTTGAGGAGCATCGAACCAATTCTTAATTGCTGGTGTTTCCAGTTCCATCCATACCTGGGGTGGTATCACCTGTTAGGGTCTCAGCTATGGTTAAATAGTTAACCCCCAAACTGGGGTCAAAATACTATGAAAGTGTAAAAATAGGTTTTAATAACAGAAATACTTTTTTGAAAAAAAAAATATTACCAGCAATAGATTTTTGAAAAAAAAAAACAATTACCAGCAATACATTTTTTGAAAAAAATATTATCAGCAATAGATTTTTAGAAAAAATATTACCAGCAATAGATTTTTGTAGAAAAAATATTACCATCTATACATTTTTGAAAAAAAATATTACCAGAAATAGATTTTTGTAGAAAAAATATTACCAGAAATATATTTTTAGAAAAAAATATTACCAGCAACACATTGTTAGAAAAAATATTATCAGCAATAGATTTTTTGTAGAAAAAAATATTACCAGCTATAGATTTTTAGAAAAACATATTACCAGCAATAGATTTAAAAAAAAAATATTACCAGCAATAGATTTTTATGAAAAAAAAATTACTAGCAATAAAAATTGTCGGCATTAAATAACCCACTGAGGTTGATATGCTGTAAAACAAAACAAGCCAAATCAAACGAAACTCATCTTAGACCGGAATAGGTTTGCCACGCCCATAAAAATTAAATAAATAAATAAAAATAAAAACAGGTAATAGAAGCTAGGTGCAGATTTGACCTGAGATGACATCAGTCGGGTACAGAGATCCGCGATTCACTCATTGTCATTAATGACCCGTCGAGGTGGACAACTGTGGGCAAGGCTGCACATGATATATGCGCCCGTGAATAATACTATTCGACAAAGTGATAACTAAACACCCCCCCCATAGATGGCGTTAGGCAGTCTTTCACATCAAAGCAAAGAGAATGTATAATTATCTCGTTGTCTTTTGTCTTCTTAATTCATGTTCCTTTATTATACTCTTTCTTTAATATTTTTTTCTTTTACTCATATTCTCTCAGACTCAGTGAGCCTTTGCATCTTAGTGGCTTTATTGCCTTTGTTCGGGTGAAATGTTTAGTAAAAACAAAAGCTTCCAGTTATTTGCTGCATATGCAATGGTGAAAGTTAAGGTTTTGTTTTGTTGTAGTTTAGCCGTGTGCAGCTGTGATTGGCGAATAGTCTAAAAGAACAACAGTACTGAATTTATAAACATTTAAGCGTGGGGCCGGCAACGCCACCCAGTTAAAACCTGTTTGTCACGGAAATCGCAGCAGTGGGCGTAGGGGAAACAATGAGCCTAGACCTCACAGTAGAATCTAATTGGTGGTTTCATAATGTTTACGAGATCCTACCTCTGATATCGCAGTTTGCATACAATGTCTAGTCAATTAACGAAGTTGAAAATGAATTTAATCTTTTAATTTATTCTTTCGCTCAAAGAGATTTTCTTGGCTTAACGGACGTGTTGAATAATTAATCTAATCCTCGATTTGGAAGGACTAAACGCCATGGCAACATTTCGAAATGTGTGTCCAACGTGAATCGACGTGTGTAGTCATTATATGAGATTTTAGAAATGCTCAAATAAAAACGCTCAAGTTGAAAGCAAATGCTTTGTTCTTGAAAGATTTTTTAACAGACGTTTTTGCCGCCATTATTATACATTGTCTTTTAAAAATGATTTCTATATTTCTTTCAACTGACACCATCATGTTTTTGGTTCCATTAAGATTTTGAATCATCGTATTTTAGCAAAAATGTTAGCCATAAAATGTTCACCTTTTCTTTTCCTTCATCAAACAAATGTAACATATTACTGTTTTAAAATGGTAGACAATCATAGTTGGATGCCACTGATATTTCAGGCATTGCTTTTGTTATGGTCCAGGTTAAGACCAAGGAAGAACAACACGAACTCAAGAGTAGAAATAACGAAGATATATTACACGAAATAATAATACAAGATGTGGAAGGTGTTAGTATGACTGTCAGTCTGGTTTGGAGTGAACTACTATCGGCTCGACTCGATTCGATATTTACTTGCACCCCCCGACCACCACCACCACGAGGGAAAGATGTGGCACAAGGCCAAGTTTTACGTGAGTTTTCCGAGCCCGTAGGCTCGGCCAAAAAATGCCCGTAGAAACTGTAAAAACAGAATCGGGTTGGTCAACCTCCCCGAACGAGGCTCTACGAAAATCATCAGCATCCTTCTGTAGAACCACATCTCCGTCACCTCGAGTCTCTTCTTCATCCTTAAGGAAATCATCCAGCATACGCTGCCGTAAAAAAGAACGGGTGTAATAGCTCTGTATTCTTTTCTTTGTTACCAAAGAAATCCTCTTGTCTCGCAATACTTTGCCCAACTTTTGGAATGCGTCCTTGGCCATCTCAATACGTCTATGGAGCTCAGTGTCGCACTTCAGGCGATAAACAGCGATTGACATTGCATTTAAATTTTTTGCAGATTAATGTTGTCTGGAATGCATGGAGCTGGAAGGGAAATCCACAAGCGATATGTGCGAGAAAAGAAACTAATAGCATAGAATTTACGGAAACATCATGGCAACTTAAATGTATATTAATGAGTTCACGACGCTAGTCTAGTCCTGCGCTTAAATTCAACAAACCTAGGAACCTTGGCGAAATAAGATGAAAGTATTTATAGAAAAGACATAGGGAGGAAGCCTTACGGCGGTGGGAAAAGTTACTGAAGCTTAGCTGCCTGATGAGGAATGATAATATTGCTGATTCTTCTTTGGATTTTATCAAAGAGCTCAAGAGACATCGAACCATATGTGGTACCAATATTCCAAGCATGAGCGAATGGTAGACTTATAGATATGTATGATATATTCTGAAGAGAAAAATTGATTCGCTCGACACAATGAATCGACTTTCTTAGCAGCTGACCCAGCAATGGTTTCAATAAAGTCTTTCCACTTCATGTCAGTTGAGAACGTTAGTCCGAGAAAGGCAAAACGAGTCAATTTCATGGAGGTTAGTATTGTAAAATATTTATGATGAATGATGTTCTTGACATGAACGAAACGT